GGAAGCAAGCTGCCAGATCTGAGAATCAAACCGTGGTCAGCCATGTGTGGGTACAGCTTTCTTTTTTTTTTGTACAGCTTTCTTAACTACCATGCCACCTGCCGGCCTCCTATAAATAATTCTTTCATATGAAATAATTTCTCTTTATCTTCTCCTCCATTTATAATTAATTTTAGAAGAATTACTTATTTAATTATTATTACTATCATTATTATTATTATTGTTAATTTTGCTATAGGGCACATGTATTCACCAGAGTGACAGAGAGAGAGAGAGAGAACAGGAAAATGAGGAAGCAAGCTGCCAGGTCTGAGAATCAAACCGTGGTCAGCCATGTGTGGGTACAGCTTTCTTTTTTTTTTGTACAGCTTTCTTAACTACCATGCCACCTGCCGGCCTCCTATAAATAATTCTTTCATATGAAATAATTTCTCTTTATCTTCTCCTCCATTTATAATTAATTTTAGAAGAATTACTTATTTAATTATTATTACTATCATTATTATTATTATTGTTAATTTTGCTATAGGGCACATGTATTCACCAGAGTGACAGAGAGAGAGAGAGAGAACAGGAAAATGAGGAAGCAAGCTGCCAGGTCTGAGAATCAAACCGTGGTCAGCCATGTGTGGGTACAGCTTTCTTTTTTTTTTGTACAGCTTTCTTAACTACCATGCCACCTGCCGGCCTCCTATAAATAATTCTTTCATATGAAATAATTTCTCTTTATCTTCTCCTCCATTTATAATTAATTTTAGAAGAATTACTTATTTAATTATTATTACTATCATTATTATTATTATTGTTAATTTTGCTATAGGGCACATGTATTCACCAGAGTGACAGAGAGAGAGAGAGAGAACAGGAAAATGAGGAAGCAAGCTGCCAGGTCTGAGAATCAAACCGTGGTCAGCCATGTGTGGGTACAGCTTTCTTTTTTTTTTGTACAGCTTTCTTAACTACCATGCCACCTGCCGGCCTCCTATAAATAATTCTTTCATATGAAATAATTTCTCTTTATCTTCTCCTCCATTTATAATTAATTTTAGAAGAATTACTTATTTAATTATTATTACTATCATTATTATTATTATTGTTAATTTTGCTATAGGGCACATGTATTCACCAGAGTGACAGAGAGAGAGAGAGAGAACAGGAAAATGAGGAAGCAAGCTGCCAGGTCTGAGAATCAAACCGTGGTCAGCCATGTGTGGGTACAGCTTTCTTTTTTTTTTGTACAGCTTTCTTAACTACCATGCCACCTGCCGGCCTCCTATAAATAATTCTTTCATATGAAATAATTTCTCTTTATCTTCTCCTCCATTTATAATTAATTTTAGAAGAATTACTTATTTAATTATTATTACTATCATTATTATTATTATTGTTAATTTTGCTATAGGGCACATGTATTCACCAGAGTGACAGAGAGAGAGAGAGAGAACAGGAAAATGAGGAAGCAAGCTGCCAGGTCTGAGAATCAAACCGTGGTCAGCCATGTGTGGGTACAGCTTTCTTTTTTTTTTGTACAGCTTTCTTAACTACCATGCCACCTGCCGGCCTCCTATAAATAATTCTTTCATATGAAATAATTTCTCTTTATCTTCTCCTCCATTTATAATTAATTTTAGAAGAATTACTTATTTAATTATTATTACTATCATTATTATTATTATTGTTAATTTTGCTATAGGGCACATGTATTCACCAGAGTGACAGAGAGAGAGAGAGAGAACAGGAAAATGAGGAAGCAAGCTGCCAGGTCTGAGAATCAAACCGTGGTCAGCCATGTGTGGGTACAGCTTTCTTTTTTTTTTGTACAGCTTTCTTAACTACCATGCCACCTGCCGGCCTCCTATAAATAATTCTTTCATATGAAATAATTTCTCTTTATCTTCTCCTCCATTTATAATTAATTTTAGAAGAATTACTTATTTAATTATTATTACTATCATTATTATTATTATTGTTAATTTTGCTATAGGGCACATGTATTCACCAGAGTGACAGAGAGAGAGAGAGAGAACAGGAAAATGAGGAAGCAAGCTGCCAGGTCTGAGAATCAAACCGTGGTCAGCCATGTGTGGGTACAGCTTTCTTTTTTTTTTGTACAGCTTTCTTAACTACCATGCCACCTGCCGGCCTCCTATAAATAATTCTTTCATATGAAATAATTTCTCTTTATCTTCTCCTCCATTTATAATTAATTTTAGAAGAATTACTTATTTAATTATTATTACTATCATTATTATTATTATTGTTAATTTTGCTATAGGGCACATGTATTCACCAGAGTGACAGAGAGAGAGAGAGAGAACAGGAAAATGAGGAAGCAAGCTGCCAGGTCTGAGAATCAAACCGTGGTCAGCCATGTGTGGGTACAGCTTTCTTTTTTTTTTGTACAGCTTTCTTAACTACCATGCCACCTGCCGGCCTCCTATAAATAATTCTTTCATATGAAATAATTTCTCTTTATCTTCTCCTCCATTTATAATTAATTTTAGAAGAATTACTTATTTAATTATTATTACTATCATTATTATTATTATTGTTAATTTTGCTATAGGGCACATGTATTCACCAGAGTGACAGAGAGAGAGAGAGAGAACAGGAAAATGAGGAAGCAAGCTGCCAGGTCTGAGAATCAAACCGTGGTCAGCCATGTGTGGGTACAGCTTTCTTTTTTTTTTGTACAGCTTTCTTAACTACCATGCCACCTGCCGGCCTCCTATAAATAATTCTTTCATATGAAATAATTTCTCTTTATCTTCTCCTCCATTTATAATTAATTTTAGAAGAATTACTTATTTAATTATTATTACTATCATTATTATTATTATTGTTAATTTTGCTATAGGGCACATGTATTCACCAGAGTGACAGAGAGAGAGAGAGAGAACAGGAAAATGAGGAAGCAAGCTGCCAGGTCTGAGAATCAAACCGTGGTCAGCCATGTGTGGGTACAGCTTTCTTTTTTTTTTGTACAGCTTTCTTAACTACCATGCCACCTGCCGGCCTCCTATAAATAATTCTTTCATATGAAATAATTTCTCTTTATCTTCTCCTCCATTTATAATTAATTTTAGAAGAATTACTTATTTAATTATTATTACTATCATTATTATTATTATTGTTAATTTTGCTATAGGGCACATGTATTCACCAGAGTGACAGAGAGAGAGAGAGAGAACAGGAAAATGAGGAAGCAAGCTGCCAGGTCTGAGAATCAAACCGTGGTCAGCCATGTGTGGGTACAGCTTTCTTTTTTTTTTGTACAGCTTTCTTAACTACCATGCCACCTGCCGGCCTCCTATAAATAATTCTTTCATATGAAATAATTTCTCTTTATCTTCTCCTCCATTTATAATTAATTTTAGAAGAATTACTTATTTAATTATTATTACTATCATTATTATTATTATTGTTAATTTTGCTATAGGGCACATGTATTCACCAGAGTGACAGAGAGAGAGAGAGAGAACAGGAAAATGAGGAAGCAAGCTGCCAGGTCTGAGAATCAAACCGTGGTCAGCCATGTGTGGGTACAGCTTTCTTTTTTTTTTGTACAGCTTTCTTAACTACCATGCCACCTGCCGGCCTCCTATAAATAATTCTTTCATATGAAATAATTTCTCTTTATCTTCTCCTCCATTTATAATTAATTTTAGAAGAATTACTTATTTAATTATTATTACTATCATTATTATTATTATTGTTAATTTTGCTATAGGGCACATGTATTCACCAGAGTGACAGAGAGAGAGAGAGAGAACAGGAAAATGAGGAAGCAAGCTGCCAGGTCTGAGAATCAAACCGTGGTCAGCCATGTGTGGGTACAGCTTTCTTTTTTTTTTGTACAGCTTTCTTAACTACCATGCCACCTGCCGGCCTCCTATAAATAATTCTTTCATATGAAATAATTTCTCTTTATCTTCTCCTCCATTTATAATTAATTTTAGAAGAATTACTTATTTAATTATTATTACTATCATTATTATTATTATTGTTAATTTTGCTATAGGGCACATGTATTCACCAGAGTGACAGAGAGAGAGAGAGAGAACAGGAAAATGAGGAAGCAAGCTGCCAGGTCTGAGAATCAAACCGTGGTCAGCCATGTGTGGGTACAGCTTTCTTTTTTTTTTGTACAGCTTTCTTAACTACCATGCCACCTGCCGGCCTCCTATAAATAATTCTTTCATATGAAATAATTTCTCTTTATCTTCTCCTCCATTTATAATTAATTTTAGAAGAATTACTTATTTAATTATTATTACTATCATTATTATTATTATTGTTAATTTTGCTATAGGGCACATGTATTCACCAGAGTGACAGAGAGAGAGAGAGAGAACAGGAAAATGAGGAAGCAAGCTGCCAGGTCTGAGAATCAAACCGTGGTCAGCCATGTGTGGGTACAGCTTTCTTTTTTTTTTGTACA